GTGTGTGTGTGTGTGTGTGTGTGTGTGTGTGTGTGTGTGTGTGTGTGTGTGTGTGTGTGTGTGTGTGTGTGTGTGTGTGTGCTCTACCAGGTGAGCTACCGAGGCCCTACTTAGCCTTTTAGCACATCCTCACATGTGACTGCACAAATGGGAAATAGGAAAATAAATAAATAATCAATCTTGAGACAAACGATTACAACCTCTTTCGTTCATGGATCCAACAGTCGTGAGGTTAACAGAACCACAGCTCTACTGTTACAAAGTCATATGACATCAGTGTGTGTTTACATGTATTTGATTGGCCAACTCCGTGCTTCGTTGGATTACATCACATTGTGTTGTGTCAAATGTTGAGCCAGGTTCAAGTTTTTTTGTTTTGTTTTTTGCTGGAAGGCCTCTGCTTTTGGAAGTGGTGGAAAGTTACAGTAAATACTTTTACTACGTACAATTTAAATGTACTTTACTTGAGTATTTCTGCTACTTTATACTTCTACTCTGACACTCAGAGGCAAATATTATACTTTTTACTCTACTTTTTACTACTACATTTATTTAATCATTTTAGTTTAGTTTGTTTCCAGATCCAAAATATAATCAACAAATAAATGATGATGTATGTATATCAATAAGACTTTATTGATCCCCAGGGGGAGATTCACAAGCTATAAAGCAGAATATATAAAATAAAATATATAAAATATTTATAAATGAATTAAAATTAACCCCACATTTTAGCAATATTACAGTGATGTACACATCAATGCATCAATAATTATCTTCCAGTGATATAATTATTCTGAAATGGGACTATATTTTTATTTCTATATTTTTTATTCTTTCACTTAAATTAAAAAGTTGACAAAGTCTAAAAGCGTGACTTTTACTTATTATATAATATTTCAGCACTTTGGTTTTGCTACTTCTACTTCTTACATTTGAAAACACTGGTTAGGTATGAAAAATACTTGTGTCATCTTAACATTTTAAAGCTATTTTCTTAACGCTACACACACAGAATATGTACTAATCTATAAACTAATAAAAATTTTGCATAGAACAGAATAAAATTAATAGAGCGAAGTATATAAAAGAATCATTAAAGGAAGAAATGAAAAAGAAAGACTAAATTATATTTACAAGGAAGATATATACAGTTACATACACATACACACACAAAATATGTATATTTGAATTATCAGTGTAATAAAGGTTATTTTCAGATTTAGCTGCTTTGACTTTGAGAGACAGTAACTTGGTTTGCCAAAGTGGCAAAATGTAAGTAAAAAGATGAACTTTCTTCCGTGGTACTATATGTAGGTCTATGTAGATTTTCAGTAGTTTACAAACAGAGACTCTGCAGAAACGGAAAATTTTGGGGGGGTTGTGAAACTGTAGAGTTGAATGGCTAATAAATTGTTAAAATGTGATGGATGAGTGCAACACACAGGAACTGCTGAGTGTCAAGTTTATGAGGAGGAGAAGAAGCAGAAGAATTGAATCCTGTGGATGTGTTGCCATCATGTGGCCAAAGGCAGAACAGTTTTACTATAACCTTCCTTAACCGTTCAATTCTGTTTAAGTGAACCCGAATCAGGTTCACTTCCACATAAAGGAAGTTTTCCCACTATCAGTATTTTGATGCAGCCAAACAACAGACATGGGGAAAAAAATACCACAAAAGCCATAAATCATAAATACAAAATAGAAATATTCACAATTTTTACAAAGTGTTTTAAAATGAAAATAGCTGTACAGTGTCAAAATGAAAAGAATGTGATGTGCAAAAGTTCACATTTTAAAGTACAAAGAATGTGTTTAATATGCAAAGAGAATAATACAGAGTGCAGACGTAGAGACTTGTAGTGTCCATGAAGGAGTGGGATAAGAGTCACTCTCAGTGGAGGTCTCGGACCTTGTTGATGAGGGCAGCAACAAACATAAAGAAACTGTTGCTGTGGTCTGAGGTTTTAGTCCTGATGGACAGCAGCCTTGATCGACCATGACTCCCTGATCTTTCCTCTTGTCCTTGGCAACCAGACGGTGAGGATGGACTCAGTGATGGTGCACCGCCATCAGTGAGTCTTTAAGAGCATTGAGCTCCAACTTCTTTTGTCCTGCCACCAGGTCACCAGGTGGTCAATCTCCCACCTGTAGGCAGACCAATCCCCACCAGAGAGGAGCCCGATGAGGGTGACGTCATCTGCAAACACAAAAAAGGACGCAGCCTTGACGGCACATTTGAGACATGTTTCCCCAGTTTATCGTGCTGCCTCCTGTCAATTACTCCGTACACCTTTATTGTAACTTTCCTCAACAGTCAGTTCTGCCTCTAGAGCCTGAGGACACAAATTAAGTTTCGCTGAAAAATGTTTCGCAACTTGATTCCTGACACGTGATGTTCTGAGTCAGAGTTCAATTAAACTGTTTCTTTGAATTATTGACTCCACCACTTTCACTGAAGAACAATTTGTGATGATATTATGAGCCTTGTTATTAAATATGAATGTATCTACAAGCCTTAAAACCTTCCTTAAAACACATAAACTGTCATTATAACAAATACATTAATACAGTGTAGATAAAATAATACTTAAGCTGAACTACAGATTTTTTTTTAGTTTAGTTTATAAATGTAAATTCAAGGAGACAATGAACCTACAGGAACTGTTGACATTTTATTTTTAATATTTTGTGCTGTTATTGTCTTTTGTTTTCTATACTTTTACCTACTTATATAACTTATTTTTATTCTGAGCTGACTTCTATTATATTAATTTACAAGTTTATGATATCACTAAAATTCAATTATTTGGATATCAGTGGTGGAAGAAGTATTCAGATCCTTCACTGAAGTAAAAATGCTAATGTCACACTGTATAAATACTGTTAATTACTCCTTATGCAGACATTTTCTGTCAATCACCTAATTGATTGATCAAGCAGCATGAACTGATTGGTATAGTTTAAATTATAAAGCCAATTTTTTATAAACCCTTGGAGTAAAAGTAAAGTGTCTATATCATACTGGAGTCTTTACAAGTTCTTATCAGAGCAGTAAAATAGAAGATGAAGGTTTCTATGAAACCATAAAGACAAACAGGAGACAGCTGTCCGACGTACATTGTACGTTGTACATCATTATGGTCACATGAAAATGCCTCAACTGCATTTTTATGGAAATTAATGAAATATATGTGAAATATACTAACCTTCAATTTAATATCACCAGAACTATTTCTAAAGCGTTTCATCACTTATGCAGAAGTTTAACTGTGGAGTTACTGGGTTTTGTTTTTGTATAGTGGGACGTTCTTTAACATACAGTATGTATATGATGAGTAAACAGACTTCATCCTGGACTGTTATAATCAAAGAACCACACCTCACCTCGTAAAGACACATAAGTTACAGGTGCCCTTCAACCACGAACAATGGGTGGCATACAGGAGAAGAAATATATATTCTTTCTACTACTAACTACTTAAATAAGTAAAAAATATTCTTGAAAGCAAAGTTTTCAGATTTGTTCTGAAGTAGTTTCCTTTCTTATTTTAAGGTAAATTTTCACACTTAAAATTGCTGCAGTGAGAACATAAATCTTTAATTCATTCAATTTATTTTATTATCTAATAAGTATTTGGTGTTTGTCTCAGTAAAAGAAGCAACACCAGCTGTGCCCTAACGTGACCTGAGCTAAAAGTGTATGTTATTTCCTGTCACTATATCCATACCCTTTTGCTTTAAATCCTATAAGCTTGTTTACATTACATAGACTGACCCCCACTACTGCCAATTCTGTGAAGTTGGAGATTGTAAGTAACTGAACACTGGTTGCATTTGTATTTGACGACCTGGGAATAAGAACTGGCTGTGAAGTGTGTAAGAGAAACTAAGGTGGTACCACCACTGTACCACCACCGTATCACCACCGTATCACCACCGTACCACTGCTCTACCACCACTCTACCACCACTGTATCACCACTGTATCATTCCTGATGAGTAGTTGGCACCTTGCATGGCACCCTCTGCCATCAGTGTACGAATGTGCGAGTGGGTGAATGTGATAAGTGTTGTAAGGCGCTTTGAGTGGTTGGTAGCTCAGAAAAGTAGATTTACCATCCACTCCCCTGATTCAGCATTACTCTCCTATAACACTTTCAGACACTGTCAGATGACTTTTTTCAGTGACTTTTTTTACTCCATGCAAATCTTCTTTTTCAAAACCTGGTGCCTGCATTACCCACTGTACAACCTGAACGCCAACAGCTCGGGTGGGGTTTTGGGTGTGTTATGGGGTGGTGTTACATAGCAACTGATGTAGCCTTGAGCAGAGACAAAAAAAACAGTCTACGAAGTTCTTGAAAACTCACTTCCTTTGAACTCCACAAGTTCAGATGAGTGACTTCATTTGACTGAGTTTAGCAAATTTCCAGCTCATTCACTCAGAACTTGAGTTTCACCTTCGGGCTTCTCTTCATTTTTCCACTTCTTCCAGCATTCCTGTCAGTGTCAGAGACTTGTATGAACTAGTGACTTTGGGTTTTTATGTGCGTGCCCATGCTATCAGTATGCATGTTTACACTTGTGTGCTCAGCATCCACGACACATTGAGCTTGTGCAAGAATTTGAATCACCTATACTCCTCTGTTCCTTCTGATTACGCAACAGTTGACTCAGAGCAAGAAAAAGTCCCTCAGGACACAAAAATTAGCATTTTGATATGAAACGATGGGACATGTTGTCTAGAAAGAATGCAATGTTTGTTTATAAAAAATGCCCTTTTGCATTCGGTGTCATAGTGCAAATACTTCAGATGCACATAACAGGATAATCATATATGGAGGTGAATGTTCATTACTGAACAGAGGCGTGCACAGACTTTTTGAAGGGCGGGGCGGAAAGAAAAAAAAGGGCACATTTAGCGCGTCCTCACCACTGTAGAGGGCACTTTAGCACGCGTTTTGGCTCCCAAGAGGGCTCCCAAGAGGCCCCCCCCCCCCATGCACACCACTGTTAGTGAAGATAGAGGGAGAGTTTTTAAGGAAGGACACACCTCTCTGCCTCCCTCTCTCTTACAACAGCATGTTTCAGCCTGTGGGGACAGGATGTGATTCAGTTTATTATGAACTGAGCTAACAGACAACGACGCATTACAGTGTCCCACAGAGTAAGAGCCGGACAGAGAGGAGAGCAGCAGAGGGATAATTGAATCTGACAGTCGTTACAGAGAGACATCACATCCTGGAAAGGTCAGTCAGCCGCTCTCAGCACCTTGATTGTCTTTGACTTCTTACTGACATGTTTCCTTCAGCCTCTCTGTCAGATTTTACTAACATTTGCGTCTTTCCTATTCTTTCTTCCATTCTGAAATAATAATTTACTTTTCTTGACTTGATTATTTACACGTAGCAGATTTATTACAAACCTATGACTCATTATTTCAAAACTTTGGGCTACAAGCAAATCCATCGCCATGGCTTTATTGGCAAACAGAGTCTCTGGCAGGAACTAGTGAGTTGCAGTGGTGTGGTGATTTTCCTATTTTTTTAAAATATTCCCCAGGTTTTGTTTAGTTTTTGTACCCAAATGACTGCTTGAAATCGTCAGAAAGCTCCTCTTTGCTGTATTTGTTCTCATTTGTTGGTTTCTCTTGCAAATACCTTAAGAGTCCTTTCTTATATTTGTCATTTAAATATAAATGACATCAGATTTTGTTCTCCTTATTGCAGTTGATCCATTACAGCAGTAGATTTATGTCATATATGCATTGCAGCATTATATCATAATATCCGATATCCGTGTTGTGGAGCTTCTTTATGATACCTGGTTTTATTAAAAACTTTAAACTGTTTTCTGTAAAAAAATATTATTATTTCTTAGAAACAATTGCTCCGTCTGACAGCATCAATGTGTTGCTTAGACTTTGCATTGTGTGGAATTTCTTTTACTAGTAATGTAAGCCTGACTTTGATTCGCTTTGTTTACTCTTGTATAAAGCCATCAGGGGAAAATAAACAGTTTGCTTTAGTAGGACCAGAGCAAGGAAATTAGGATTTAATCAGGAAATAATGACCTTGATGTCTTGTTCTCAAGGGAAATATAGTTTTGCGAAGGTCATATAATTTATCAACCAATTAAATCCTATCTACGTCACTCATGTTTAAACTATCCAGCATATACAAGTCACGTATAGAACCTCTTGAACTGTGTTATTCCTTAAAAGTCAACCCTCTGTGAGCTCTGCACTGTATGGTTTCCATGAGCCAAAGAGTCCAAAGAAGGGAGATGAACGAAGACAAGAAAAAAAAAAAAATCAAAGTGAATAAAAGACTATGTTGAAATACTGCTCTACTTTGACGCAGGACTGCTAATGTTTGGCGTGTTTTAGCATGCTGCCTTTTTAAGCAACAGTGTTGGCTTCAGAGTCTTGTGAATATTTTAGATGCTGCGTCAGGGTGGCAGCCATCCTCTAGTTCTAGGAACAGCATGTGTACCAGCTTGTGAACAATATTTTGTAATGTTTATCTTTACCACCTAAATTACCAGTACAGTATTTAGTCACTGTCAGTTTTTTTCCCCTTTATCTGTTTTCGTCATTTACAGTTATAAACCATTTCCAAAAGAGGAAATTCTTTTTGCCACCAGTTCCTGTTAACTTTTAAAAAAAAGAGTGATGCAATGGCAGCCCACATCATGCCAACATCTAGACTTCAGAGAACACTTTTTTTTTTTTTTAATGAGTCCAAAAAAGTTGTTGAATGAGATTGTTGAGTGTGGCTATCCTGAGCAAATATTTCCAGGGAGCTCTGAAAAGAAACAATGTCTGACCAGAGGTGGGAAGAAGGAAGAGAAACTTCACTTTTACTCGAGTAAAGACGTTGAGTCGGTCACCTCTGTGTCTGATGTAGGGGAGATTTCTTCCATAATCTGGAGAGGTGCTAGTTCTCTGAAGAATTACAAACCCAGTGTGATAAATCAAATTCCTTTACTCATGCAGCATGGAGGGAAGACCACAGCATAGACGTTCCCTTTAGACTTCTAGAATGCTTTGCCTTATATACCCAACACATCATTAAACAGGATACAGCTGTTGTCCTATCTACATTCCTAATCTAATTTACAGATGGGCAGTTTAGGTCTTTCACAATGGTCCTGTGAGCTTACCCGACCGGGACCAACTGCTGACCAGTCATTCCCTACCATAAAACACAGCCTCCTAACCAGACCGTATACATTAACTCCCCCACCTAAAACATTCATCTACCACACTGACATCACGTTTCAGTCTCAAACCGGCAGTTCATAAAAACATCTGCTGACTAACTTTTAATAATAAGTTGTGTGCAACATACTTCAGCATGGATCTGATCAGTGTTGAAAGCAGGTGTGCATCCGCCTCCACAGACAAAAAATCTGTTCACGTGTCCTAAAGATAGTCGGCTCTGATACACAGACTGTTGAGAGTAAAGTAAATCTTATTGCATGCACTGCAGGAAGTATGAGAGAACATTTCTCCTACTTTGTTTATAGGGTTCTTGATATTTATTTATTTTGGTTCTAACTTTTTTCTCTCATCCTCAGGATCAAAACTCCTCTCAGCATGGACCACCAAACTCTTTCCTACTCTATTCCCGAAGAAGAAGACGATGGAAGCGCTGTGAGCAATGACTACTCCACAACCATAGGTGCTCTCATCCTGGGCTTGGTCTTCCTTCTGGGAGTCCCTGGCAACCTCTTCATCGTCTGGAGCATCCTGGCACGCATCAGACGACGCTCGGTCACCACCCTCCTCATCCTCAACCTGGCATGTGCCGATGGCTTCCTCATGACCCTCACCATCTTCTTTGTCGTCTACCTGGCCATGCAGACGTGGGTCTTTGGCGAGGTCATGTGCAAAGGCCTGTTCTACCTGTGCAACACCAACATGTACGCCTCCATCTTTCTGATCACACTGATGAGCGTGCACAGGCTGGTGGCCGTGGTGTTCCCGAGGAAAGCCTCCTCCCTGGCCAGCAGGAAGATTGTGAGGAGGGTCATTATAGGAATGTGGGTGCTGGTGACAGTGATTTCTATCCCTTCGCTCGTGTTTCGAGATCTGAGCATACAAATAGATGAGACCAATGAAACAAGATTGGTGTGCGCGCCCAATCACACCCTGCCTCGACATGTAAGTAGAGTCGTAATCACTTTCATTACCTGTCATTGACCTTTCTTGACTAATTGATTAATCGTTTGCTCTAAAGCCCATTGCAATTTCCTTGTTTTGTTTAACCAAAAGTATGAAAGACAACTGAACCTCTGAAGCCCCTTTAAGTCAGTTCTTAATTGAACTCATCTGAACTCCTACACTAACATCTGCTGATCACGATCATTATGTATGATCAAAAGCTTCAGATCTTGTAATTTTTCTTTCTCTGACTATGAATGTAAGTCCAATATTAAATATTTTTTGGTTCTGTTTCTTTCGTTTTCTACCAGTTCCTGAGGGAAATATCTTCCTCTTTAGGTGCTTAATGCTCCACTATATTCACCAGTTAGTCTCTGACTGTGTATGTGTGTCGTTTGGTACTGAGCAGGTAGTATAAAGTGGGTTTTTAGAGCTTTTCTACTGCAAACATCTGTCTGCTGTAGCCAAAAACAACATACAAACGTAACAAAATAATTTCTCAATGGGTAAACTCCAGCTGCTAATGACGATCATATGATATGATTGAAAGCTCCAGAATGGCTAGTAAATAGTTCTCTACGTGGACTGAAAGCAAATCCAACTCTTTGACCTTTTTTCCATAAATTAAAAAGTAATTTGAAAGCTGTAATCATACAAGAAGTATACAAATACTATCTTTCTTTCACAATTTGGTTTGCCTTGTAATCTTTGTTTGTTATCTTTGTTTTATGAATGAACACATTTAGATTCGGTATGTTTTATTTGCTTTTATCTTGCTCTGCCTTGTTTTTGACAAATCCATTCATGTCTTCAGTGACCCATTACATCTGGTTTGTATCCTCCTGTGCGCAGGTGAGGTTTCAGTATGCCTTTGAGACCGTGGCAGGATTCATTCTTCCTTACACAGTCATCATAGTCAGCTACGTGCTCATCCTGCGACGCCTGAGGCAGACTAAGTTCCGCAGAAAGGTCCGCAGTGAGAAACTCATCCTGGCCATTGTGGTGATGTTTGGCATTTTCTGGCTGCCGTACCATGTTATCAACATGATACAGGTGTGTGAAGACATTAAAATACAAATTTCAATGCAATTGGATCAATGATCTGATCTTTTGAATAAACACTTGTGTTGATCTATCCAAGGTGGCGGCTGAGTGGTACACAGAGGAGTCACCCATGAGAGAAAAGTGAGTAACAAAAAATCTTCACAATCTTTCACCCACCTTCTCAAACTAAATGTAACTTATTTTTAATGACATATGGTAAATGCACATCAGAAATATTTAAAAAGTGAAGGGAATTATTAAAGGGTCCAGTGTGCAACATTTAGGAGAGTCTGTTGCCAGCAATAGAATATAATATGCATGAATTGGAATCATTATGTTTTTGTTACTGTAGACTCTGTACTTTGTGGTCCTATTTTGTCTCTTTGTAGTCATGTTGTGTCTCTTTGTAGTAATTGTGTCTCATTGTAGTCATTCTGTCTCCTTGTGATCCTATTTTGTCTCATTGTAGTCATGTTGTGTCTCTTTGTAGTCATGTTGTGTCTCATTGTAGTCATGTTGTGTCTCATTGTAGTCATGTTGTGTCTCATTGTAGTCATTCTGTCTCTTTGTAGTCCTATTGTGTCTCTATGTAGTCATGTTGTGTCTCTTTGTATTCCTACTGTGTCTGTGTGGTTGCTTTGTGTCTCTTCGCAATTCCCTAAATGTGTTTTTAAAATATATAAGCACACGTTTTAGTTGTGGTCTAAAACTTCCTGTTTATCTGCAGGTTGGACCATATCGCTAACACCAGTCGAGCGGTGACTTCGGCTTTGGCTTTCATCAGCAGCTGCGCCAATCCTGTCCTCTACACCTTCGCTGGGAAGTCCTACATCAAGCAGAACGGCTTCGCCTTCATGGCTCGTCTCTTCGAGGGCACGTCGTCTGACCAGACAGGAACCAAAAAGAGTCGGGGCATGGGTAGAGACACTGCGGGAACCAGTAATGTTGACTCCACAAATAGCACAGGACCTGTTATAGCTTTACAAAATGGGAAATGAACGTGGAATTAACTTTGCGTGCGTAACGAGAGCACTGGAAATTTGTAAAGCTCCATGTGGGGTGTGTATATTTTGTTTAAAGTACTGTTTGAGCCTGAATCTGCTGTGCTTAAACATTACAGACAGAATCACAGCACAGACTTTGAGCTGAGTACTTTGATTTGTAGATAAGCTTAACTGGAAGTCTGAGTTACATTTTGACAGTGACAGATAACACTTGAATAAGGAAATTAAGTCATTTAAAAATACTAAATAATTACAGGAGCAGTTACATTGTGAGAAAAACACAAACATAAAAATTGTTTACATTCTGATTTATTCACATATTGTATGATATCATAATCACAGCCTTCAGTATGGTAATGTTATTTATATTCTATGTCCTCTCAGTAGAATAAGCCACTATAAACCTATAAATAAGAAACAAACGGACCAGAATATTAAAAAAACTTTTTTTTAAATCATACTTGCCAGCAGCTTTTAAATGCTTTATTAAATGTTTAGAAACTGTATGAATGCCAAATAGGCAGCTTTAAAGTGTTGCTCATTATTCAGATACATGACATTTCTAAATAGCAGACTAAAGAGACGACTGAACCACTTATTTTTGTGAATTAATATTTATCCAACTCAGTCTGAACAGAACCAAACATCATACTAAACATGTTAAAACTTTGGATTAAACTTTATACAGGTCTACTGGTTTTCTACTTGAGATACTGACTTTTAATGTATTTTACAGTTTGTCAATTAGATTGACAAACTTAAGTTTTATTTTACGTTTTTCTCAATATTGTTGGATTTCTCAACGTGATGAGTTAACATTGAGTCTGTTGTTGCTCAACATGGATGTCACTTCAGTCTTGAGCCATTTGTAAAGTGTTATGCACTAATGTTTTGTGTTGAAATCATTGTAATTTAAGTAGAAATGTTCCGATACCATTTTTTTCCTCCCCTTCTTCCTGAACTTTAAGTATCGGCTAAAACAAACATGCCACTGGGCCTGTGCGGCAGCAGCAGCTCGGCCTGTTAGGACTTGGCTTGGGAACCAGTTCAAGTCCAGCACAGACCATAGTACGGTAGCTGGAGAGGTGCAAGTTCAACCTCCCGTGCACTGCAGAGGTGCTCTTGAGCAAGACACCGAACTGCTAACTGCTTGTTGAACACCCTTATGCGGCAGCTTATCGCTCAACATTTGCACGATTGTATTTTCGGCCTGTGTGTAAAGTAAGAGTGAAATAAATATAAAGTATATTTTCTGTATGATTGATACTGTGGTACAGCCTAGGTCAGGAGGAGAGCTGTGACTTCACATATTGGATCAGTGCACCTCAGTCTGGTATTTTGCAATAATTTTGGTACAATACTTTTTTTTTTTTAGCACAACCCTTTTGTGACGCAATATTGTTAAATAAAGTAAAAGTTTACTTGTGATTTTTTATTTTACACCAAAAGGTTTGTGTAACAACCACATTAACTCACACCCCAAAATGAAGATCTTTAAGTGAAGATTGCACCTTTATACATCCTGTTTTACCTTTTAACATTACCTGCTTAAAGATTGATTCAATTATACATCAGGCAGTCATTTTACATTAGAGTCTCAACTACTGATGAACCTGATGCATATTCAGTACCACCACTTACAACTCATGATCTGCAATTAAAAACACACATTGTTTAATATACAACACTTTATTTACCAATAAATTTAAAGTTCATACAGGTCATGTAACAAGAGGATTTGGAGCTTATGTACATACACATTAAAGACAGTTAACATTTTCCATCAAGTTACTCTACAGATTAACAGTATAAACATTAGTCCTTTTAAACTTCAAAAAAAAAAATCCACACTGGGGCGATCCAGCAGTTCATGCCGTGTCCAAATTACCTGGAAGAGCAAAGAGATTTAATATCAAACGGGGTCAGAAGCATTTTAAAGAGATGTTTATTCAAATATGCTTCTTTTGGCAGCTGCATCACCTCCAATTATATATCAATGAGAATAAACCAAATATCACAAAACCTCAACTGCCATTTACCCCACAATCTACAGACTCCAATCAGTGTAATACAACAGTTCAACCACCAAGAACACAGATACTGACCTTATCGAGACGCATCCAGCTCGGGCTCGTCAAATCCTAAAATATAAAGAAATAGATGACAGGTTAGTTTCATCCTGCAACACAAGAAACATCCTCACTTAGTATCAGTCTGGTCAAACCCATCAGTGCAGTAAGAGAATAATCATGAGGTTCAGGTGAAACACGGACTGCAGATCATCATTAAGGTTTGACTGTATGATGCAGAACTAAAGTGGGAATTAAACAGCAATGTGCAGCTTTCAAGTAATACTAATGTATCCTACCTCTATAAAAAAGGTTATAATGTTCATTTTTATTAAGTTTAACATTTAAAAAGGATGTAGTTTGTGGTGCTGTTGAACTGTATTGGATTATACAAAGGGGTGTTCTCATTAATATAGGTGGACAATATAGAAACACTTGTTAGTATAAGACCCATCATAAAACTTATAAACCAAAAACTAAACATTAAAACCTTTGTAATGTAGGATAAACTGCAGAAAGGCTGCAATAGCTTTAGTTTTATTTACCTAATAAACTGGCATTAGAGTGAATGTTGATCATGATTATGATTCAGGCCTGTTAATGACACACAAATTAACTACTTTAAGTTTATTTCTGCTGCACGACTCGTGCATAAATACACAGAATGACATAAAAGTAATTAAAAACTATTAAAGTTAATTATGCTCCTTTTAAATGTAGACACCATTCATTTGGATGCAGCCTTTAAACTGGCGGTGTAATCTGCGGATTGAGGCCCAGCTCGGCTCTCTGGCACAGACCATGAGGTCGGGCTTGAAGCATCGAGCTAACAGCTAGAACAGTGTGCGGTGAAAATAACCGCAACAACGAGCGACACGCAGGTTCGTGAACGCATCAGCTGCGACACAAACAAACGCAATGTGACAAACAACGAGAGTAAATACCGGGAATGAAGCGTCACACGCGTGGTTCGTCCGTTGTCTGTCCGTCGGTACACGACCGACCGACCACCAGCACCGACACCAGGAAGAGAGGCTGTTAATGAGGCTCACGCTCAATTTATCTCGTTATCCAAACCCACGTGTTTACTGTCCTCCGTCACAGAGCCGCCTGCTTCCGGGTCTGACGTAGTAGGCTATAAAACCATAAACAGCTAATATTATTAAAAATATAAATATATATATATATATATATATATATATATAAATAAAACATCTGTGTTCTCTTTAATGTTTATTATTATTCACTGAAATAAATCAACATTTATTTAAAGGTTTATTGATGCAGATAGAAACATAAATAATGTGATTATATATATTTATTTATTATTATTATTATTATTATTATTATTATTATTATTTATATATGTATTTCCTGCCTTGAACCAATAAACACAATCTGTGTGTGTGTGTTTAAATTTAGTCACACTGTCTTTAAAGTTTAAATTCAAATGTATTGAACTTGTGTGTATCTACACTAACCTCTGTTAATAAGGGACCATAGGGACATTATTGATAAGGAAATATCAAACATTTTACATTTTGAAGACGGGATTCATCACATATTTACTTTAGAGGGAGGAGAGTTAACTCATAATTATTGCCTTCACCAGATGTTATCTCACTGTGAAAATGTAGTGTCCACTGCTTTGTCCTGTATGAGCTGAACTTAAATAAATTATCTTATAGATAGATAGATAGATAGATAGATAGATAGATAGATAGATAGATAGATAGATATAAAGATAGATATAAAGATAGATAGATATGAAGATAGATAGATATAAAGATAGATATAAAGATAGATAGATATAAAGATAGATAGATAGATAGATATAAAGATAGATAGATAGATATAAAGATAGATATAAAGATAGATAGATATAAAGATAGATAGATAGATAGATAGATATAAAGATAGATAGATAGATAGATAGATAGATAGATAGATAGATAGATAGATAGATATAAAGATAGATAGATAGATAGATAGATAGATAGATAGATAGATAGATAGACTTTATTAATCCCCGAGGGGAAATTGGGTCGTCATAGCAGCCAGGTAAATTAAAATAGAATAAAATACTTGGATAGAAAAGATAAAAAAGATAAATAGGTAGTTAAGGTGCAGAGAAGTTGTTGGTAATAGTACTGATGACGTGATGGTAGTGTTATTGTTAATAATAATATTGTAATTAGATATTCAAAAAACACATCAGAAAGCATGAATCACTCCATTAACACACTTTAGATGTAGTAAATAAATAAGAACAGGTAACTGGACAGATAAATAACACCTGCTCTTCTGCTGTCCTGCTTTACCTAGTGCGCATGCGCAGACACAACGCCGCCTGTTACGTCGTCGTTTTATTTTTATTTTTCCAACTTTAACTTTGTTTTTTGTTTTTTGTCTCACTTGTTTGTTTGTTTTTTAAGCTGCACCTTCCCCCCAAAAAATACTAGACTCTTATTATATTTATATTCCCATTTTTATTTTTATTTTTATTTTTATTTCTATTTTTATTTTTAAACATTTATAAACTCTACGTATATTGTGTTAGATTGTAATGTAATAATAATTATTAGTATTCGTTAACATTGTGTGTCGAACAACTGTAATCAATAAATAATTTCCGATTCTGATAAACTACAAAGTGACGCGCCTGGCTACGGGAACCCTATTGGGTCAAAAGCGCGAAACAAACTCACTCACTCACTCAGTGCTACAGGGCGTAAAGAAAAAACGGTGTCACCTGCTGCGACGTTCAGTTATTTAATTCAACACTGGACGGTGCATCACCCACAATGAGAGTGTTAATCGGTAAGCTCATTAATTAATAATAATAATAATAATAATTATATCTTCTTCTTCTTCTGGTGAAAGGTCAACGTGAGATAACTGCTAGCTGTAGGCTAATGTTAGCGTTGGATATATGTACCGGTAGATGTGTGATTTAAGTTCTTCTGTTATATAATAGTGAAAGAAAAGCGTTAGTTATGGGATTGAACCTTTTAGTTTCGCCAAAGTCATTCACAGAGTCCTGTTTTGTAAGCATGTACAGTACGCATGCGCACTGTTGTGTGACAGTGCTGACTGATTGCATCCTTTATAATGTGTGTGTGAGTCATAATGTAGCACAATTAGTAATATTAAATTAAGTAAAATTAGAGTAAGTATAACTTTCATTTGAAAAAAAATAAATAAATAAAATTCTCTCATCCACTTTCATTGTAACTTGAAATTGACTCTGTGATTCATCTGTCTCTGTATTGTCTTCCCTGTAGGAGGGGGGTCCGGCTTTGTGGGCCGTGAGCTGACTCGCCTGCTCAGAAACAAAGGTCATGAGGTCACAGTGATATCTCGCCAACCTGGTCCAGGAAAGATATCATGGGTATGATTCAGAGCTCGTATCAGTGATTTTTACTCTCTAATGTCGGTAAAATCTTTAGAGTTTCTGACTTTACTGATCACTCTTTGCCCTCTGTGCTTCTGCAGGCTGAGTTGGAGTCTGGTGGTCTCCCACCGTGTGAGGGCGCCGTCAACTTGGCTGGAGAGAATATAATGAACCCACTACGATGGTGAGAGTGACAACTACACACAGACACACTCTTCTGTCCAAGTGTGGCTGTAATACACCAACAAATAGTCAAAAGTTTGTGGACACCCCTGATTAAAACTGTGGTCTGGGAGCTGAGGGTTTTTCTCAGTTTTGTGGAGGAGATAAAGGAACATTTCAGTGCTCCTGTGCTGAAGTTTGTGGTGGAAGAACTGGCATCAACCCCATCAAACATGTTTGGGATGACCTAGAACATTTACTGTGAACCAGGTCTTGTCGCCCAACATCATTGGCCTCCCTCACTACTGCTGTTGGGCCTGAATGGGAGCAAGTTCCTGCAGCCAGGTTTCAAAAGCTGCCCAGAATAGTTGAGGCTGTTAAAGAAGCAGATTAATGTCTTAAGTTTTGGAATTACGTGTGTTCAGGTGTCCACATATCTTTGACCATGTAGTGTTCTGGCCTGCTCAGTTGTTGCTTTGAATTTCTTGATTAAATTGCATTTGACTTTTTGTCTAGATCAACTAAAACTGAATGCAACATGCACTTTATTATGTTGCAGGTAGCAGCTGTTGTAATGTAGGTGGATCGCCGCCTGATCTGTTTTTATTTGTGCTTTTTAGGTGGAATGAAAGCTACAAAAAGGATTTGTTCTCCAGTCGGATCGACACCACAAAAACTCTGGCTCAAGCCATCGCTGCTTCCGCCAGTCCTCCTCGCTCCTGGGTCCTGGTATCAGGTGTAGGTGAGTCTCTGCCTAATAGTAAAACTCAACGGTGACATCTATTGTCGTGTATATTTCTCACTTTGCTTTTTTGACCTGCAGCTTGTTACCAGCCCAGTCTGACAGCTGAGTATACAGAAGACAGCGAGTGGACACCATTTGACCTCCTCTCCAAACTTGTGAAAGAGTGGGAGGCTGCAGCACTTCTTCCAGAGAGTGTGGCAAAAACCACCAAACAAGTCGTCATCAGGCCTGGTATGTAAAAAGCGGTCATTTCACTTTAAGTTACATGATTGCTGGGACTTTCTTTTGTAAGTTGCAAACAGAACGATTGTATTTTGGTACCTCCAGAGTCCTTGTTGCAGATTTAAGCAGGTGAAAAGAGTTTAAATAAATCCAGTAGTGAAACAAGTACTCATAGAAACAAAACAACAATGTAGAAATATTCTGTTACAAGTAAAAGTCCTGCATTCAATATTTTACTCAAGTAAAAGCACTAGCATCAAAATATAGTTCAAAAAGTAAAACTACTTATTTTGCAGAATGGCCCAGTTCAGAATAATGTATATTATATTATTTAAGTTTAATTATTGATGCATCAGTTTATTTATATATATGTATTATCTTTATCCATAAAGATACATTATAATTTATTTGTTGGTTATATTTTGTATTATTCAAGTAATAAAGTAAATATTTCCCTCTTAATTGTAGTGGAGTATTAGTATAAAGCAGGAGAAAATAGAAATACTCAAGTACATGTACCACAAAATTGTACTGTAGTACAGTACTTGAGTAAATGTACTTAGTTACTTTCCACCACTGCATAAATCATCACATTGAAAATCTCCCTGGAGTGTACTTTATTTTGGAGATTTTGTTTTATGTTGTAAACTTTCTACCCTCCCTCCACCAGGGGCAGTATTAGGCCGTGATGGTGGCGCCATGAAGCAGATGCTGCTGCCCTTCTGGCTCGGTCTCGGCGGCACCCTGGGGTCAGGAAGACAGCCGTTCCCCTGGATCCATGTCTCGGACCTGGCAGGAATCATCGCCCACGCCCTGGAGCCCCCCGCCGACACTCCCTCAACTTCACCACAAGTCTTCAACGGGGTCGCACCTGCACTGAACACCAACTACGAGTTCACTAAAGAACTGGGCCGGGTCCTGAGGAGACCCACCGTTTTCCCTGTGCCTGCTTTCGTCATGAACACCCTAATGGGCTCTGAGAGGGCTGTGATTCTAACGCAGGGCCAGAAAGTCATACCAAAGAGGACTCAAGAGGCCGGATTTCAGTACGAGTACCCAGACTTGACCTCAGCCCTGAAAGAGATTGTTGGGAGTTAACAGATGTTAAAATAATGTGCGCTTGCTTAACATTTTCTGTAACTGTGTTCATATTTACTGTATTACAAAAATATTCTCATATTCTTCTTCATTGTTTAGGAAGTTTTTTTCATATCAGTTTATGAATGATTTTTGGTTTCTGAGAGTTTGTTCATACCTTTTAATCAAACACATCTGAGCACCTGAGCCATAAATACAGGTGTGATTGTATCCCTGCAGACCTGTAGGCTGCACCAGGATCTGATTGTTCCAGTGTTGGTCAGGGAGACATTGAAGGACTAAATGTTCAGCAGCATTTGCTCATTTCTGTCACATAAAGGACTCTGACGACAGGTGTGAACTGCAGTTTGGATAATCTGGACAAAAGCGATGCAACTAACATCGATTTAATCCGATGATTATTCTATTTGATTCATTGTTTTAGTCTTTTAAAACACCAGAGAACAGGAAAAAATGTGCAGCTCAATTTCCCTACAGCACAAGGTGACATT